CTGGCTGAATGTGAAGTTACCCCCACATCGAATCCGAACTCGGTCTACGCGTTCCCGTATTGCCAGTGGCGTGCCGTTTACCAGTCGTGCGTCGATCTCAGGTAAGCATCTGTCCAGTGGCAGTCGCAGTTTTTGTGCCGTAGCAGTGTTAATGAGGCTGTGGCTGGCTCCCCCATCTACGAAGATTTTAACTAAGTCCGTCCCAATTTTCCCACTGAGCAGTATAGGGCTGTCTACCGTGGTACCCTCCTTATTCGGCCGGGTGTGGTCGATTGCGTGAACCGGCACAATCACTCGGTGAGGGTCGGTTGGGTCGGGCGAGCGGCGTGACCTGTCAGTAGGGGGCCCGTCTGCTACTGACTTCCAGCGTTTCCCTGCTGCTTGGTCTGTGTCTGCTGCTCAGCTTCCCCCTTTCCCTTAGCGTTTTCCGGGCATTCGCTCTTGCGATGTCCCGGCCGATTGCACGCAAAGCAGCGCCCTTTGAACGGTGCGGCAGCGGCATTTGCGGCGACGGCGCGTATCGTGGCGCTTTCGTTCGTCCCACGAGGCCGATGTCCCCAGTTGTTGTTTCCGTAGGACCCCGGTCTCGGTCGGCGAAAGAAGTCGAGCTTCTCCGCCATAGCGAGAATTTCCTGAAATTCGGTGACGCCGCGAAGCTGGATTTCCTGAGCGATGTCCTGCTTCAGGCCGCCGATGTAGCGGTCGATGCGCTCGCTCTCATGCATGTAGCCCACCTGTTCGCATAGCGCCAGAAATCCGCTCGTGTAGTCCTGGACGGAACCGAGTTGGCGCCAAGTGCGGAGCTTCTGTCGCGCCGCGATCGAAGCCGCAATTGGCTCAAATCGAGCGCGCAAACCTGCGCACCACGCGTCCCACGTGCGATACTGGGGCACCTCCACGAAATACGACGGCGCCCAGGGTCCGGTTTGTCCTTCCCGTGTCGGTAGTGTCGCGTAGTCTGTCGGCTTCGTGACGATGACGCGCCACCAGTCCATGGCGGGTCCTTGCAGCAGCGACACGGCGTATCGAATCTTCGCCGAGTCCTCCGAGACGTAGTTGGCGTCGAAGAAGACATTCATTGTGAACAACCACGCCTGAACGGTAGGACCACCCCGTTGACTCGGGTCAAAGCATGGCGGGCGCTGCGGCTTCAGCGGCATCGGTGACGGCAGTCCCGAATCGTGGGCTGGTGCCGAAATCGTGACGCGAGGCTGACTTGGGGCCGCATGCGTCGCTCTGGGGTGTGTCGTGCCGTGGTCGTCGTCTCCGTCGGGGCGGACGACGCCATCACTGGCCGCGCTCGCGGGTTGCCCCACACTCCCGTGTTGTGATGTTGAGGGTGCAGGTTGAATCGGAGTGCCAGGTGCTTGAGATTGTGCTTGTTGTGCCCTCATGAGGTCATTTTGCAGCGATGAGCGTTCTGCCGTTAATGCCGCGATTTCCTCGGAGCTTTCGTGCAGCTGTCGCAGCAGATCGTTCAAACGCTCCTGCGTGAGGGTGGTGACATCGATATTTTCAGCCATGACGAAGGGCGTCGGCTCGTCTTAGTCTAGGCGCAGTCGTGGCTGCACGCGTTTACGAGAGAACGCGAGGACAGCGGCTCCTAGGGGCTAAGGTGCGTGAGTCCCTTCGAGTGAAAAAACAAAAGTTGATTTCCTGGTGTGCGGAGATGCGCGGTCCGAAGGAAAGGGGCTCTGATAACCAAGTGTTACGGGTGCAATGAATCGAAGTAGCGAGAATTGCACTAAGGTGTCAAACGAGTACAAAATGTGAGCGAAGGCATGAGCGAACATTTATACGCGAAACATGCAAAACGGTAACGCGGTGCGTGCGAGCTTGCTAGTGCTGTCAAAAGTTAGAAGGAAGAAAGAGGATTGAACTAGCAAGAATGAGGATACAAATAGCAAACCCTAGAAGGGTTGTACTCGCTATAGAGCACCCCACTACAGGCTAGAACAATAAGATAATATTCTGACACACCCCCATAGCCAAAGTGGGGTGTAATCAGCAGAGCAGGCAAAGCAAAACAAGCTCAGGGTGGATCACAATGTCACCACACATTCTGAGCACAAGTTCAAGAAGAAATAGTTTAGAGTTTACAATTATAAGCAAAGCTAGTGGTAGTCACAACGGGCAAGTGAGGAGGAGGAGGGAGAGTGAGGGGAGAGGAGACAGGAGGCGACGGCTGAAGCTGCAGACACACGGGCAACAGGAGGCAGACTGGCACAGCGGCTACCGGACAGCGCCCGGACTACAGGGGTAACAGGCCCCGCGGCTCAAATAGCGGCGGACGGGCAACGGACCCACGGGCGGCTGGCACAGCTGGCTACGACTGGGCTACCGGGACAGCGCCCCGGACTACAGGTGCTGCTGACGACAAACTGGCAACCTCCGCTCATCCTCCCGCACACAGTCCCACCCCCCTGATACACACCCACTGCTACACCACTAGCTATACTCCCACGCACCCCCCTAAAACCCTAAACCCCAGTCTCCCACACAACCACCCCCCTCAGGGACAGCTGCAGCAGTGGGAGACGAAGGAGGAGGAGGAGAAAGGGAGGAAGGCACACCGGCCACCCCCATACCCGCCACCCCACAGCTCGCGGCCCCCGAAGGAGCCGCGACGGGCGACGGGAAATGGGGGAAGGGGAGAAAGGGGGGGGGCCCACCACGGACCTGAGGGGAGGGCGGGACCGCGACAAGGGGCGGGGCCGCGACGAGCGGGGCGGGGCCGCGACGGTCGGGGTGGGACCGCGACGTAGGGTGGGGCCGCGACAGGTCGGGGCCGCGAAGGTAGGGCGGGGCCGCATAGGGTCCGGGGCGGGGCCGCGACGTAGGGCGGGGCCGCTTCGAGGGGCGGGGCCGCGACGCAGGGGCGGGGCCGCGACGAGGGGGCGGGGCCGCGACGGAGGGGCGGGACCGCGACAGGTAGGGCGGGGCCAAGCCGAGCAGGCGCACGGGCGGCGACGGGCCGGGGCGGGGCCGCGACGAAGGGCGGGGCCGAGCCGGGCAGGCGCACGGGCGGCGACGGGCCGGGGCGGGGCCGCGACGTAGAGGAGAAGCCCGCCGCGCGCCCCGGGGCGCACAGCGGGCAATGAACCGCCGCGCGCCTCGGGGCGCACGGCGGGCAGAAAACCGCCGCGCGCCTCGGGGCGCACGGCGGGATGAAAAAGTAGCAGCGGAAGCAAGGTGGGGACACACCCACAGGATCGATCCAAGGGGATCGACCTGCTCTGATAGCATGTCAAAAGTTAGAAGGAAGAAAGAGGATTGAACTAGCAAGAATGAGGATACAAATAGCAAACCCTAGAAGGGTTGTACTCGCTATAGAGCACCCCACTACAGGCTAGAACAATAAGATAATATTCTGACAAGTGCTACGCTGGAGCGAGGCTCGGGCTAGTCCCGAAGCGTAGGCCGATACGGCCATGCCAGCAGTGCGAGGTTTGGCAAAACAGTGCGCGCGAAGTCGGCGAAGTTCCGTTAGCAGTAACGGGCGAACAATCGGCTGTTGCTGTACGCGATGTAGTCGGCTCCGTAAGGAATGCCGAGAAAATTCCTTACAACTAAGAAGGATTGTAATAGCGGAAGCGTTGTAATACAGAGTGGTTGAACCACCTTGCACTAGTATGTGAGAGCAAAGTAAGTTGATTAAAACAAGCAAATACAAGGCTTTATATAAGAGTACAAGGAATACGAATAGATATAATAACTGTATTGCTGTTGCGATTCGATACAGTGCGACTCGGGCAACTGCTCAATGTCGAGTCAGTTGTGTGTCCTTGCTGTCGCGCTGTATTGGTCAAGTCAAAGGTCGCTGACCTTTGACCTTCGCGTAACCTCCAGGCGGTTACCCCAACCTTCGAGGTTTGACTCGCGACGCTTCGATTCGGAGTGCTTCGCTTTTGTATCCAGAGTTTCGACACGACAGAGGCGCTTAAGATTTATTGTTCCCAACAAATCATTTACATTGTTAATTCGGCGGCAATAATTCCGTGCGAACAACATGAGGAGATTATGGCATGGTCATGCGTCTGATCATAACTGTTTTTATGGCAAATAAATAGGAAATTTAATAATAGGTTCTGATTCACATGTTATGAAGAACACAACATTATTATTAGCAAAGAAATATCTAAACACACAAAACAAGAATGTTTATAAGAGATGAGCCTGATTGTAAGGGTCTGATACCCAATTTGTTAGCGTACGTAAATATAGTGGAGCAGAGTTCTCGGCCAGCCCCCCGCACGTTCCTCAACAGAACATCGGTGGGGAATGGGTCGCAGAAATTCTTGGCACGAACGGAAGCACCGGAAATGAACAAATTCCTTTCTCAGAATGCGTTTCCTTCCTGGGTTTACAAAACGGAACCAACAGGGTGGGAGATCGCCCAACTGAGGAGGTGGGTGGGAGAAGAATAGCGATTACGGTTGCGGTAGTGCAAAATGTGCACTCTTAAAATTTGGCGGAAAGCTTCTAGGAGTGTTAAATCTTTCTATGAGTGATTTACCCTAATAGTCAGCGCACTCCAGCGACTCACCGTCTGACTAGGCGCGCCGCGACAACAACAAAGGACACCTACGTGTAACTTACAAAGCACAGCCCTCACCAGTTCAAACTGGATCGACGGCTGCCATGATGCATCTTCCCATGTGCAGAGATCGCTGACCGTTCGCTGGCGTGGTTTGTTCGCGCTGGCGCACTCAAATGTACTGTACACTGGACCTGTCCCATTCATTGGCGCAATTTACGGTCAGTGCCTTGTAGAAGCCAGCGTAGCCAAACCATCGTTTACCGATTGTAACCGATGAATATGTTTCCAGCAACGTTTCTCCACCACCACTGCCACCCCCGCTGCCACCAACCAAGCCTCCCTGAACAAAGCAGCAACAGCACGAGCATCTACCCAACGCACACACAATCTTCAGCTCTATCTGCCACCAGCATTTCGTACAGGCGCCCGATGATCAGCAACTTCCACCACTGTATTTTCAATGAGACTTGGAGCGCAAGTGCCGCTTAGAATACTCCGAACCTCCCGCTCTTTACGTCGTATGCCTCGTTGGGCGACGGCGCGAATGCCGCTAGTACAACTGCCGTACCAAACATCATAGCTTACACAGCTTCCACGCACTCCCTTTCCCAACATTCTCCCTCCACTGCGAAGAACTTCCCCTCCGCAGCCTTCGCTCCTCCCTACAGGCACGCGCAAGCCACAATCGTCGTCGCCCACGCGCACATGTTACCCCATGCGCGCCTAGCACGACGAGCTCGCCCACCAGCAACTTCCCCCAGCCTCTCCGCGCGCCATTGCTCTCCACGCGCGTCCCTCCCCCCCAGCAATGTCACCGCGCTCGGCGCGCTCGCCGCTCCCGCTGCTGCTCCTTCTGCTGGTCCTCCACCCGCCTCCGGCCTCCTCTAAAAGTAACATCTCCGTTTCCCGCGCCCCCTCGTATTCTTTCCGCGTGGTGATTATTTATAGCGTTCCGTCAAGAGAGTGGTTCTTTCAGAGAGATACGATCACAGTGGCGTGGGGAATAGGGTTGCTTCTTCGGTCATGCAGCCGCATGATGCGGCGCGCAGTGTGGGAGGGAGGAGGGTAGAGATAAACGACAGCACTGCGCGCAGGAAGCGCATGGGGGGAGAGATTAGGGGCGCGACTTGGGCTTTCATGGCCGTGGTAGAAGGCAGAAGCGCGAGACTGAAGCGCAATGGCGATTGGTTCGTCTCTGCTTGTGACTGCCCTGGGGCTGCTTTTGACGCGAATGGGAAAGTCAGGGCGGGGTGGACAGAGGTAGCGACGGCTGCGCCACGGAACTCAGTCCACAGTCTTCCACCTATCCCCCCCTTCTTTCCACCTGAGTCCTCGCCTTTCCACATCCGTACTTCGCCCGAGCCCTTTGGTTCCATATCCCACTGTTCCGTCCTTCATTCTTCAACTTTCCCCCTTTCGCCCCTTTATTCTTCCCCGTTTCCCCTGCTCGCTCCTCCCTCGCTCCTCCCTCGCTCCTCCCGCGCTCTCACTCGCTCACCCTCGCTCCCCCTCGCTCACCCTCGCTCACCCTCGCTCCCCTTCGCTCACCCTCGCTCCCCTTCGCTTCCTCCTCGCTCCCCCCTCGCTCCCCCTCGCTCCCCCCTCGCTCCCCCTCGTTCCCTCTCGCTCCCTCTCGCTCCCCCTCGCCCCCCCTCGCAGTACCCCAGCCCTTCAAGGCGTCGCTCCACATTGTGAGGCTTCGCTCTGCCCCAGCCGTCGGATCGTACCGAGGAGGAATCAACGGTTATCCAGCGACGGCCCCATCTGCAGCTGCATCAAGCAACACCAGCGCAGATTCACCCCACAACAGCACAGCCCACCGGCCTAACACCGCCACTGACGCCCCCAACCCCGCTGGGACTGCTACCCCTGGCGCATCGTCCCAGCCTTCCATACACGCCAATGCATCATCGTCCCCTGCTTTCTCCGCCGCAGCAGCTGCAGATGCAGCCAACGGGGAGCAGCAGCGGCGGCGGCATGAGTGGCGGCAGCAGCGGAGGCAGGGGAAGGTGGACATAAAGGCGGAGCACGTGCAGCATTTTGCACGGTTCCTGCGGGAGCAGCAGCAGGCCGTGGCGGCGGAGGTGGGGGTGGCTCCAGACAGCCTAGCGCACCAGTGAGTGACATTGGTGGCGCCTGGTGCATGGTGCTGGGCCTTCTGTGTGTGTGTGTGCGCGCGTGCATGGGTGTGCGCGCATGTGTGCGGGTGCAATGTGTTGTGTGCATAACGACGCCTGTATATCCAACAGCTGGTGCCCCCAGTATGCATGGGCAAATGTTACATGAGCCATTCGTTGCTTCTACCATCCTTCTTGGGCACAGCTTTCTTCATCCCTTCCTCCTTCACCTCTTCACATCAGCCAAATCAACCTCGCAACGCCCCGACTTCAACCACCCCACCCACTCCTTGCCACATCTCTTCAGCATTCTCCTCTTCTGCAGATACCCCTGCTGCAACCCTTTTCTGCCTTCCCTGCCAGCCTACCTGACCTTCATTCCACATGCCCCCACCTCCCCCTCTCCACCGAACACCATTGCACTCACCTACCCCTTCCCTACCCAAACCCCGTTCGCCCCTGTCCTCTTCCTCCCCCTCCCACACTCCAGCTCCAGATTTCCCAGCCACATTTTCGCAGCGCTGCTCATGTCCCCTTGTGCACCCAACCCCCGTGCCTAACCTCCCACGATTCCCCCACCGCTCTCCTCCTTTCCTCCGCTTCCCGCACTCCAGCTTCAGCTACTCCAGCCACGCGTTTGCAGCGCTGCTCACGCCACTACAAGTGTGGCGGCTCTCGCGGCACCCAGCAGTGGCAGCAGTGCAGCGCGGGGACGACCTGCTGTACCCGCAGACCACCGCCTCCTCTCGCTTCCTGCGCCTCCCCTCCACCGCTTGGGTCACTGCTGGGGGCGCGGACGCTGCAGGCGAGGACGTGGTGATTGGCGTGGCGGACAGCGGTATCTGGCCCGAGCATGACAGCTTCAGTAGCAAGGTGCGGGGGGAGAAGAGGGTGGTTGTGAAAGGTGGGGCTGTAGGGGGCGAGGGGTGAGGGAGACTGGGGAGTTGAGGACGTGGTGGTTGGCGTGTCAGATAGCGGTGTCTGGCCCGAGCAAGACTCGGTCAGTAGCAAGGCGAGCGGGGAGAAGAGGGTGGGTCGTGAATGGAGGGGATGTAGGGGGTGAGGGGTTAGGGAGACCGGAGGGCCGAGGACGTGGTGATTGGCGTGGCAGACAGCGGTATCTGGCCCGAGCATGACTCGTTCAGTAGCAAGGTGCGGGGGGGAAGGAAGAGGGTGGGCTGTGAAGGGTGAAGGTTTACTGGTGAGGAGTGAGGGGTGATAAGTAGTCGGTGGGGGGTGAGGGAGACAGGGCGGTCGAGGACGTGGTGTTGGCCTTGTGGACAGCGGCATCTGGTGAGTATGTGAGCACTGCTCCTGTACAGTACAGTGCCAGCCGTGCACTGCAGCGGTGCAAGGCGCTTACAGAACCCCTCCTTCTCCTGGATCTCGTCACCTGAATTTCCACCCACCTCCGTCCATGCACCCATGCATTCCTCCGTCCATGCACCCATGCATTCCTCCATCCATGCACCCATGCATCCATGTGTGAGTGCAGGCGGGGGACCTGTACGGGGGGCAGCCAGTGGACTACAAGGGCGTGTGCACAGTGACAAGCGACTTCCCCGCGTGCAACACCAAGGTGCTGGGCGCGCGCTACATCTACCAGGGCCTCGTCAAGTCCGGCCGGGCCATCGACCTCACTGTTGACTACCTCTCGCCCCGAGACGTGCTCGGCCATGGCTCCTGGTGTGCCGGGTGAGTGAGAGAGATGAGGGCAACGGGAGGAGAGGGGGATGAGGGATGAGGTGGTCCGGGCAACGGACGACCGCTACATGGCAGCAGTGGGCAGTGGGCAGTGGGCAGTGGGCAGTGGGCAGTGGGCAGTGGGCGCCTCTTCATGCGCCCCCTGTGTAGCGCCAGCGAGCCGCCTGCGTACCTGTACCACCCCTCTGCTCTCCCCTTCCCTCCCACCCCCACCTCCTTCCCCCACTCTCCCCCACCGCCCCATTTCCTCCTGCTTCTCCCTCACACCTCCCCCTTCCACCGCCCTCCCATTCCCCTTTCCAGGGCAGCAGCGGGCAACCGGTACATCAAGGCAGTGGGCGGCCCGTTCACACGCCCCCTGGGCGCAGCCAGCGGCATGGCTCCCCGCGCACGCATCGCCGTGTACAAAGTCGTGTGGCGCACACAGCTGATCCCAGGCGTGGGCGGCGTGGACAGGCCGGGGGGAGTGGCGTCGCTGGTGGACGTGGAGGCAGCAGTGGACTACGCCATTCAGGACAACATCGACGTGCTGCTCGTGCCGCTCAGCGCCGGGTTCAGCCCCACCGCGTCCTACTTCGACCATGTTTCTTATCTCAACGCCTTTGAGGTGGGCTCAACGGCTGGTTGGTTGTGGTGGAGTGGAGTGCGTGTACAATGTGTGGGTTATTTCTGGTTGGCATGTTGCTTGTTACGTTGCGCCTCACGGATGCCCTGTCCACTCTGCTGTTTCTCGTTAGTAGCGCTGACTGTCTGATGCAGGAGTTCTGCCGTTTGGTGGAAGGGGGAATGGCGGGCGTTTGTTTCCTCGTTGAACATTAAGCAACAGACCGGCAGACCACCAGCAGAACCGGATGTGATTAGCCCGCCACCACACACTGCTTTTATTTCTGCTGGGTGGGCTCAACCTTCGCGTACCCACCATGCGTCCATCCTCCCCCGCTCACATTTTCCGGGATGCTTCAAACACAGCAGAGGCACGCATCATGCCTGCTTGTGGGTCAGACTTGCCGTTCCCAACACATTTTTCGCGGTTGCGGTTGTAGCATTGCGGTGTTAAGCTGGGTAAGCGTTACAATGTGCGTGTTGGGGTGTTAAGGGAGGTAAGCATTTGCAGTGGTGCCATGGCATTGTATTTCCTCCTCCACCCGTGTACGTATGTGACCATCAGGCTGGAGTGACAGTGGTGAAGCCATCCGGTAACCGTGGGCTCATGCTGGGAGTGCGCACCATTGAGAACTACTCGCCCTTCTACCTCACTGTCGGCGCCAGGTGCCCACTCACTCATGCCCTTTGCACTCACACTCTTGGAGAAGCACCCCACTCGCTTCTTCACTGCCCTCTTCTCCATGTCCATCTGTGCTCGAATTTCCAGCCACTGCCACTTTTTGTGCCTGTGTGCCTGCTTTTTGCCCTCTTTCCTTTACACATGTGTTGCGTGTTTTTTGCCCCCCATGCCCCCCATGCTCCCCATGCTCCCCATGCCCCCCATGTGCGTGCATGCAGCTCCATAAGCCGGTCGCTGTCAATGGACGGAGCACGCATCAAAGGATACTTCTCAACTGCCGCCACCACCACCGCCACCTCCCAACACCAACTCGCCTCCACCCCCTCCTCCTCCACATCCTCGCCTGGCAACGCGTCTCTCTCCCCCGCCTCTGCAACACGTAGGCGGCAGCACGCGTCACTGGCTGCCCTGGCATCCGCACTGGAGGGCGTGCGGCTGACAGGCGACTGGTCACGCGCGCAGTTCCACCCCATGGCCCCCGCTGCCTCTGCTGCGCTCTCTGCTGCTGCCAGAAAGAAGGTGAGGCGTGGGATGCACGAGGTGGGTGGCATGGACGAGGCAGGATTCATGTGTATGGGCCATGGCTGGCCAGTGCACGCTCTGCTCATCGCATGCTGAACCCACTCACTTCGGTCAATCCATGCCCACACACCACACCTCATCCTCCTTCCATCCCCCCTTCTTTCCTGTCGTCTCTCTGCCTGCCGGGGTGACTGAACCCTGAGCTGGTAATGGGGCAAGGTGATGGGCGAGGTGCTCATGTGTGGCTAAACAGTCGACCAGCAGACTCACTCACACCATTCCCATGCTCCCCCCTCCATGTTGACTCCGCCCAGGCATCCCAGTGCATGCCCAGGTCACTCAACCCGCTGCTGGCGCTGGGCAAGGTGCTGGTGTGCGGGCCTGGAGGCACGACCCGGCAAAAGAAGATCGCTGCTGCAGCTAGAGCAGGGGCACGAGGTGTCGTGCTCACTAATGCTGATGCTGATGGGGGGGAGGAGGATGAGGGTGAAGGGGGCGGGGGTGTGGAGGAGGGGATGGGGGAAGAGGGGGGTAGTGGGGAGGGGAGTGGTGGATTGGGTGGTGAGGTTGGTGGGATGTCTAGTGGGGCGAATGGGGTGAACTCAACCGCACGTGGGTCGGCAGACAGCCTTCGAGGACGAAGCACAGTGGAAGGTGTTGGAGGAGCAGCAGGAGGGGCAAGAGACATGGCAGCAGCAGGGGGTGGGTTGCCTGTGATGGAGCTAAATGCAGAAACGTCAGCACTGCTGGGCATACGACTGCAAGGACTCATCAACCTGTGAGGCACCTCCCTCACCTCCTTGCTCCCCATCGTCAACTTTCCATGTTCTTATTAGTTTCATTAGAAGGCACCCTTGCTGCTACCCACCTCTCTGTTGCAACCGGCCCATCCCCGCTCCCCCTCGTTAGCTTCAACCCTTTCCTCTGGCTGCGTTTAACACAGCCACTCCGCCTGCCCATCATCGACTCTGCCTCCTCCACCAGCCCAGTAGCCCTGCCCCTCTCACATCCTCTCCCCTCTGTGCTGCCCCGCCCCGCCCGCCTTCCCCATGCCAGCTTCAGCCCTTTGCTCTGGCTGCGCTTCCTGCAACCACTGCGCCCGCCCGTCATCGACTCGACCTCCTCCACAGGCCCAGTGGCCCTGCCTCTGGCCCGTCCAGGAGGCTCCCAGCCCACCAACGATCTGCTCAAGCCCGACCTCATCGCCCCCGGCGTCATGCTCTGGGCCGCTGCTCCCGGCGGCGCCCGCACCAACCGCTTCCGCCGCCTCTCTGGGACATCCATGGCTGCTGCTCACGTGGCAGGCGTGCTTGCGCTGGTGATCCAGGAGAACCCGACATGGCTGCCCGGGAGAGTCATGTCTGCAGTGTTGACCACGGCCAAGCCCACGAATGTTTACGGCCGGCCGATTAGGCTGTGGAATGGGCTTCAGGCAGATCCCTGGATGATGGGATCGGGCCATGTGAACCCCTCAAAAGTGCTCGATCCAGGGCTCACTTTTGACCTCATAGCAGCAGATTTCAAGAACTTGCTTGCGGGGCAGAACTCGAAACGGACGGCCAAGATCTTTCCGACGGCGACTCTGGAGCCGATTGATGCGATCCAGCTCAACCGGCCGTCCATCGCGATCTCCCACTGCGCGGGGACAGTGACGGTAGCGCGCACTGTTACCAACGTGGGCATCATTCCTGCTACCTTCGTTGCCAAGGTGAAGGCGCCTTTTCTGACGTTGGTGGAGGTGGTCCCTCCGAGAATCACGCTGTCTCCTGGCGACTCGTACCGGTTTCTAGTGGTGATCACAGGGTTGATTCCAAGGCCCAGATGGAATTTCGTGTATGGGGTTATCGTTTTGAAGGATAACTTTAAGCGCAAAGTCAGGATTCCTATTACTGTGCAGCCCTCGTTATTGTAACTGCCTTATGTATTATGCATAAAAATCTTATTGACAACCGTAGTCGCTATGGTCTTGCCACCTATGCATATCTTGAGCATACAGCTGGTGCCTTGGAATTAGTTTTGTAGAAAGTCTCAAGTTTGGCCATGGCACGGTGCAGTACTTGGTATTCTTTCGCAGCTGGTCCCAATGCCATTCTTTTACCTTCCATAATGCCGCGCTACACTTTACCACCAAAGCAATGACAGACACCATGTGATCAACTATACTAAAGCATGGTACAGCATGTGAGTGACTAAAAATCGTTGCCTCACACTCTACAAATATGCACCGCTGCTGTGAGCCATGTACAGGTACCGTAGAAATGCTGTGTCCTGACTCTTGAGCTGGCCCGAATTGCAGGGAGGCATTAAGTCAAAAGAACTAATGTGCAAGGAATTTATTTTTGAGATGCCAAAAGAATTGAGTTGCTTGTCTCGGACGTTCCAGCTACGCATGGCTGCCATGGGTCCCCACTGCTCACTGCGACCTTGCCTCTTCACGTCCCTCCTTTTCTCCTCTCCCCACCCCACCCCCCCACCACCTGAACCTCTCTCTCACTCACCCATCCCTCTGTCCGTGCATCACCACTTGATGTAGCGCAGCGGCTGCACGGCAATGGGCGAGCGCACCACATGTCCGAGCTCATCCCGCCACGTCAGGCTGCCAAAGTGGAACCGTATCGACTTGGCATTCACCCACACCGACACCGTGAACGTCACCCTCTCCCCCGGTGCGATCGTGAACTGCTTCGGATTGAGCATCATCACAACCCCATACGGGCACACGATCTTCCCCTTGTACGTGCTGGTCGTGGAAGCCACGTTTGTGACAGTCCGCCGCACCTTGCGGTACCCTTTCATGCGCCCAATTGAGATGCTTGCGCGGTTCACGTTGCGTGGGGCTACTCTCCTGAGGCTCGCGCCGGGAAAGAACTTCTTTGCCCGCCACATGCTCTGCCCTGCCAGGAAATTCCGGTAATGGCTCTCCCCTGCGTCGTACGTCAATCCGGGGTCAAGTACCCTCTGGGGATTCACATGCCCGGCTCCTACCTGCCACGGTGTTGCAGTCCGCCCCCCCGCAGTCCTGATGAACTTCCCTCTAGTGTTCCGCACAGCAGCAGTGGTCATAATAGCAGACATGACTTGCGCCGGGGACCAGTCAGGCTGTTGCTGCACGATGAGCGCTGCAATGCCGGCGATATGAGGCGTCGCCATGGACGTCCCGGAAAGCTGTGCCAGCCCGGCTGCATCACCAATGGTGGTGGCTGGCATGGCGGCATAGAGGGCAACGCCTGGACCGATGATGTCTGGCTTGAGGATGGAGTTGGTGGGGTAGGGCGGTGCCGTGCCCTTGATGGGGCGAATGAGCGGCCCGCGGGAGGAGAAGCCGGCTACCATGGGCGCTGCTATCGATGCTGTGTCTATGGCTGCTGGCTGGGCTGCTTGTTGTGATGATGTCGGGGTTGTGCTGTTGGTTGGACTGCTTGGGGGAGGGGGGATGGGGGGGTGCGGGTGCTTCATTGACGCATACATGATGAATTCACGCTAGCAGTGCACGTGTACTCATGTGTGACATATATGAGAGGGTGCGGGTGAAAGAGGGAGTGAGGAAACGGGAGGGGAGAAGGCTAAGGGGGTAGGGAACAAGGAAGACGAAGCACCGATGAACTGGATGCATGATGGGGTGGGGGTAGTGCCATGCACGACCCTGGCCTCACCTGTACTTGCTAGTAGCAGCAGGAAACCGTGCTGCTTTTGTAGCGTTGAGTGCTTCCCCCTTCACAGACGCCACTCCCAGCACAGCCCCGCCCCTTTCAATGGTGCTGCACACACACGGGGGGGGGAGGGGTGGGGGGTACGTGGCACGCGATGAAAAGGGGGCAGGGGAGTAGGGAAGATAGGACTAGTGTCAGGCAAAGTCCCTCATTTGCAGGACAGGACCCATGCGGCTTTTGCAGCGGCGGCAGGAAAGAGAAACACTGGTGGGCCTTTGTGGACTTTCGAGGCACCTCAGAGTAAGCAGCAGGCAAGAAATACACTGGTGGGCCGTTGTGGAGGCACATGCAGGGCAGAGATGGCAGGCTGCGGGCTGCAAGCTGCTGCACGTGCTTGACAGTGGAGTCATCTTGACCTGCCACCCGTTCCGTACTCGCCTGTTCCGTACTACCCACGAGCCACTGCAACCCCACCCACGTGGCAGTGCAATCCTACGTGGCAGTGCAAGCACACCTGGCGCCAACAGTGAGGTAGAAGGGCGAGAAGTTGTCAATGGATCGGTACAACACGGGATTCCATCTCTTGGGCCCTCCGGCATTCCCTGAGGCAAACGCCACCACCACGCCAGCCTGAGACACGCCGGGGGTGAGGGAGAGGGGTACAATGAAAGTGGCATGAGCAGTCAGCTGTGCACAGACGTGTGATAGGCTGCGTCTAATGTGTGGGCATTGGAGTGCAACGAGGCGACTCATGCGTCGACTCAAAGGTCAAGAGGGGTGTGCGCCGGTGTGGCATGCAACGTATGCCATGGTCTGATGCGCAGACGTGTGATGGGCGTGGTGCTTGTCAGATTCTATGCGGTTTGGAGTGAAACAAGAAGTGGGTTGAGTGTTGATGGTCTTTCATGGATACTCATGAGAGTGGGTCAAAGCCAGGGGGGGACGCTTACTCACTAAGAATCGTCAACAGGCCCTTCTCTTTCAGGGAACACTCGTCTTCTCGTACCCTTCCTCGTCATCCCTTCCTTTTATCCCCCCTCCAACTCCCCCCCCACTCCCACTCCCTCTCGTTCGCCCTCTCCCTATCCCAATCTCCTTCTCACTCCCCTGCCCCTCGCACCAGGCAATATCCCCCTTACACCCTGCTCCCTCACAGCATTGGTATTGAGGAAGGCAACATCCGTGAAGTAGTTATCCTGGGGGTTCGCCCCCCCCAGGCTGAGAGACAGCACGTCCACACCATCAGCCACAGCAGAGTCCACGGCAGCCACAATATCCGCGTCAGACGCATACGTGCCGTAGCTGTCCGCCCAAAACACCTTGTACGCCGCTAGCCGCGCTGCCGGCGCCATGCCGCTCGTGTCCCCCGATGCCCAGCCCACCTTCGCGCCCACCGCTGCTCTGAATGCGTGCAGGGGGAGGGGGGAAGGGGGAGCGGGAGGGTGGGGCAGGGGGGAAGCGGAGCAGAACAGGCGTTAGAGCCGCATCCATGATTCATAAGTATCGTTCAATCAGAAGTCGTGAGGAGTCATAGCCAGCTTGCCTCGCCTTCCCGCCCACTGCTGCTGTGATCGGGTGCAGGGAGGAGTGATGTGGGGGAAAAGTGGAGGGCGAGAGGGATGGAGAGCGGGAGCAAGAGGGTGGGGAGAAGGAGAAGGGAGAGTGAGTTGGATGAGGGTCGGAGAGAGCGAGGCGAGCATGAGAGCAAAGTTGCAGCAAGGAAATTGGAAAGCCACAGGAGCTTCTGGCGCAACTCTCCCCTCTCTCCCCCTTCACCCTCCTCTTCCCCTCTCTTCCCCCACGCCCTACTTCCCCCCACTTTCTCCCCCCACGCACCCCTCACCCTGCTGCCTGCACGCACCCAGCGCACCAAGTGCCGTGGCCGTCGGAGTCACGTGGCGAGTCATAGTCGTACGAGAAGTCGGGCCCTCCATTGCTCTCCTTCTTGAATCCGTTGTACATTTTGCGTGCGCCGATCAGCTTGCCGTTGCAGCTGAAATCCGCCGATGTCTCGCACGTGCCCTGCCACGTCGCTGGCGTGCCGCTCAGCCCCTGCAGGAGCAAGGGGGAGGCACGCGGAGAGGGCAGAGCAGAGAGGGGAGGGGGAAGGGCGGAGGAGGGAGAGGAAAGGGCGGAAGCGGAAGGGGCAACTGGGTGAATTGTGGAGCCACGTTCCGATGACTGTTCATGCTGACGCGAGTGAGAAGGGTGGGTGGGCGAGTGGTGCGTGGGTGGCTGCAACAGCAAGGCATGAGTGGATCGACTGGAGTGGGTTGTTGTTGCAAACCCTTTGTGTTATATGCTTGCGCAAGGGTGCAAAATGCCCGCTTCATGCCTGCTCAGTGCCTGCTCGGTGCCTGCCCCTGGTGGCTGTTGCTGATAGCACGTGTGCCTGCCTGTGCGTGTGTGCACGCGAAAGCGCGGTGGTGAGCACACGTGTGAGGAATAAGAGGAATAGCGGTGGAGAGAGGGTGGTGATGATGGCAGCGGTGCTGGTGGCAGGCGATTAGAAAACAACAAGGCACTCGCGGTGGTGGCAGTGCCAGCGGTGGTGGTGGCATTGGCAGCGGTGGTGGCGGCGGCATTGGCAGCGGTGGTGGTGGCATTGGCAGCGGTGGTGGTGGCGCTGGCAGCACAATCAAGCACTGACCGTGTCGTCGAACGAGCTGTGTTCGGGCCAGATGCCCGTGTCTATCACGCCCACCACCACGTCCGCCCCCGCGCTGCTCTGCCCGCCCGCCGTCTGCCAAAGCGAGTCGGGCAACCTGAGAAACACGGGCGAGTCGAATGTATGCTTGCGGAAAATCCGGCTCCTGCGCACGGCCGCCACGGCGGGGTGGCGCTTCACCCGCCAGAGCTGCAGCGGCGTGAGCGCGGCGGCGAAGCCGTGGGAGACGATTTGGAAGTGGTGCACGAGGGCCGTGGCGGCCACGCCTATGTCTGAAGCCACCTGCCGCTGCTGCTGCTGCAGCATCTGCCTGTACGCCTGCACGTGCGCCGCCTTCAGGTTCAACCGGGGTCGTTTCAAGCTGTGGGAGTTCAGTGCCGTTGAGGCGGACGGTTGAGATGACGGCCGAGGGGAGGAGGACGAGGAGGAGGAGACAAGCAACCGTCCATTTCCTCCTGATGAGTCTGTTTCGGCCGATGATTCTGTTGAACCTGCGGCCGCACTCCCCACCGTCCCTGGTACCCCAGCGGCGCTGCTGCCGTTACCAGTCATGCCCGTGCTCGCAACCACACCTGCCCCGGCCCCTGTCCCTGTCCCTGTCTCTGCCGCCTCTCCTGTGCCTACCCCAACATCCGTCCCATTAACGGGCGGCCACCCCCACAAGTCCTCCGCGCTTCCCCCGACGAGCCCGTCAGGCGCGGGCGGAAGCTCCGCCTCGGGGGGGTCGTCGGGGAAGGCGCTGTCGAGGTCGGGCCCCTCGTCCCTGGGCGCGGTGGCGGGGTATCCGGGGATCTGCCCGCGGTACGTCGCCAGGGGGAGCCCCGAGCGCAGCTCCACGATGTATAGCTCCGCCTTGGGAGGGGCTGCGGGGGAAGGGGATGGAGGGTGGCGGGGGAAGGGGGAAGAGGAGGGGGGGGGAGGGTTGGGGTTTTGGGGAAGGTAAGGGATGTTGGAGGGGCCGGGGGAGAGATGGCGGCGGAGGGGGGAGAAGAGGGGGGTAGGTGCTTATAGTAGACATCAGCGGCCATTCAGGTGCTAGCAGCAGGCGGCCGTGACTCAACCCTGGCGCGCAACGACTCCTTAGAGGTAAAATCGCAATGGTTTGGAGAGAAGAGCGAGAGGCGCGAGGGCCGCTGTATTGCCTGATTGCCATGGCTGGCGGCAGAAGAAAGGCACAGATGTGATTACCATAGTTCTACTAAAGAAAAAAACAAAACAATACAAAACGATTTTGAGCTCACAAGACACTTTTGTGAATTCCAAAAAATGCACGGTGTGGCGGCACCAAGCCGCGGGGGAATGATTCAAGCGGGACGTGAGGCGGGGCGTGAGACAGGACGGAAAATCGTAACAGGGCTGATTGGATTTAATGGTGCAAAGCGCGAAAGACGGGAATGCAGGCTGGCGGTGTCATAACAACTGCCACGCGAGAAGGCGACTTTTTGGAAACGCCGCAGAAACAGTACAAGAAGCGGCGGCGAGAGTCGATGTAGGAGGGAAATACGTCGCCAGACTTCGCTAGCGCACGTTTGTAATAGCGAATAGCGGCTCTCAAGGGGCAGACGCTGACCTGGTAGCGAGAGTCCGTGGCTTGCGGTCGTCAGAACAAAAAGCAGCGCCGCAAGGCCGTGCGTGACGTGCGAAAGCGATAGGCGAGGCGCTCGCGGTGATGCTGGCGCACATGGCGTCACGGCCATGAGATGATTCGAACGTTTGTGCGGCGCGCGGAATACCGCAATCGGCGCAGCGGTCGGCAGCTCCGCGGCGGGGCTGTCGTGACTGTCTTTGACTGTGAATGACCTGGCGGTGGTTGGATGGATGTGCGAATGGCAGGTTCTACTAGTAGGCGCGAATGAGCCGGGTAAGGTGGAAGGTAAATCGAAAAGAATAGTGACGGACGACTCGGAGTCGATCAGCAAACCAATCACTAGTATGTTAAAGCTGCGAGCCGAAGAGCGCGAGCTGCGCTCCGTAGGCTGACGACGGGCTACTTGTCGGTAGTAGCTCGAGCTCAGTCGCCTAGCACTTGGGAACAACTTGCTTAGAGGCAGAACTTCAACGAAGGCGTCTCTTGTAAGGTTGGTTGCAGTTTGAAAGGTTGGAATTGGCGGAAATCAACATGGTACCCTCGTCCTACGAACCTTCCTGGCTGGAATGAAAAATCTTTTGCCCACTGGGCTTGCCATTCAGACAACGGGGAGGCGTTTTTCGTGCACGAAATCGTTTGACTCGGATTGGGTTTGGTGCAGTGTCGTGGCGATCGACTCTCTCTGCTCGGGGAAAGGCACCTTATGATTGATGAAACGCCACGCCACCTATTGGGGCTACTGTACAGAGCTCTGTACAGTAGAAGGTGATGCTGTCCGCCACGTTCTGAACCTCACCGAATGTCATTTTGTGGCCTGCGTCTGAACCGAACCGCGGAGTGAAGGAATCGCCAACCTGTCGTTGAGAGCGGTTTGTACTCGTCACAGGGCAGGCTCGCTGTGATATTACTGAAACAGAATGCTTACTGACCAAAGAATAAGATCATACAATGAGAGCCTATCTGCAAAAAAAGAGAGGACCTCGTAAGCCTAGGTCAGGACCCAAAATATCAGGGTAAAACGCCCTGATTACCCTGGGGGCCGGCCACTTTTTCAGGATTACCCTGCCGAAATCAGGATTCCCCTATAGTTACCCTTCTCTAAAAAGAACATGTATTTTTTTACACTGATACGATTTATGGTTAGCCTGACGGTGTCAGGGTAGGGTGTAGACTACCCTGATACCGAAACTTCTGAAGCGCGGATCAGGCCATACTCCGCGTGGTGACAAATTGTACCACACTCCCACAAACCAGCGTTGTCGCTTGTGACCAGATGCATAAACCCCTGCTTCGGCAACACGCCATGTCGCCTCATTGGTTGTTTCTCCCGCATGACTGCCAAAACACCCTTGAATCCAGCCACACGTCGCCACGCGCCCACCGCCATCACAGCAGAGATTGGCGTCTAAGGACAGCTTCAAGCTATCTTTGACAACAAAGATAGCTTGTTGGGGGGAACTTGTTGGGAACGAGTTGTTGCCGAGTGGTTTTCGACTCCTGGCGTTTTCCCGCGAATTGCAATTGGTTTCCGATACATCTGACAAGAAGAGATCGACTGGTGCAGAGAATGTCTCCCAAGCCCTCCGAGTTGGTTCGGGAAATTTGAGCGAACACGCACAGGACACTATCGAAATCCTAGCAAGGCTTGGGAGCCATGGCTAGTGAGTTAGGAGAAGTTGAGTTTGAGTTTAGGAAAAGTGTCGAGTGTGAGGAGAAATGTCGAGAGGAATCGTTGAATAATAGCAAAGAGATACAACATATAGTCAAGAAATTAGAGGTGCACCACCAAACAGAAGACAAGATAAGTACACTACTCCTAAACCACAAGCAGTTACATAAAATAACATTGACACGCACCCATAATTGCTTGTGGGAAGAAGTGTAGTTATCGCCCCCTGAAGGGGTACACGAGGCAGAGTGCGCAGCAGAACGGGAGAGGGCAGGCAAGGAGGAGAGAGAGAGGGAGAGAGAGGAGAGGAGGTGGTAGGCTCTGGTTGGTCACCCCCTACATCCCCTCACCCTCCCCCTCCCCCCCACACTGCTGCAGGAGCAGCAGAGGAGGGCGAACGGAGGAGGATGGGAAGGGGAGACCACACATCACCCATCACCCCCTCACCCGCCACCCCCAGTCCCTCCCCGGGCTCCCCCACACCCTCACACCCTCCCCCCCAGCGGCAGCTGCAGCAGAGGGAACAAAAGGAGGAGGAGAGGGGGGGGGGGGGGGGGGGGACACACGGCTTCCCGGGCGCCAAAGCAGGCAACAGAGGGGGCGACGCCTGCCCCCCCCTTCCAGGTCGCGGCCCCCGAAGGAGCCGCGACAGGTGACGGGAAGAGGGGGGGGGGGGGGGGGGCGGTGCACGTGCCCCCGGTGTGCCGCAGCTGGTGACGGGGCATGGCCGGGGCGGGGTCGGGGCCGCAAGTGGGCGGGGCCGTAGGTGGCATCGGGGCCAAAGTGGGCGACGGGGCCGCAAGGGTGGGCGGGGCCGCAGGTAGCGACGGGGCCTCAGGTGGCGGGGCCGCAGGTGGCGACGGGGCCGGGGCCACAGGTTTAGGAGACGGGGCCGGGGTCGCAGTTAGGCGACGGGGCCGGGGCCGCAAGGTAGGTGACGGGGCCTACTGAAGGGCGGCGACGGGGCCGCGAAGGGGGGCCGCGAGGGGCCACTAAGGGTCTCGCGAGGGGCACGCCGCGGGGCGTGCAGTACACAGAGTAGCAGCGGAAGCAACAGGTCAGGAACGTAACACGCTCTGATAGCATATCGAAATCCTAGCAAGGCTTAGGAGCCATGGCTAGTGAGTTAGGAGAAGTTGAGTTTGAGTGTAGGAAAAGTGTCTAGTGTGAGGAGAAATGTCGAGAGGAATCGTTGAATAATAGCAAAGAGATACAACATATAGTCAAGAAACTAGAGGTGCACCACCAAACAGAAGACAAGATAAATATACTACACCTAAACCACAAGCAGTTACATAAAATAACATTGACAGACACCTGGCGCGTGACGATTTGTTGCAACTTTGTTTCTATTGGCTGCCGGACCGTCCAAATACATTCCGACGCGCACTCGTTTAGAAGAGGAAACTCGTTATCAGTCTTACGGACTCGTTCATTTAATCCTACATTTGTTTCCCCGTTATTTAAAACGTGATACTAAGGAGGGATGAACACAGCGAGTTTCGAAAACATTAATGTCAATAGGTACAGTAAAGATACAGTAAACTAGCAAAATAAAGAGATAGTGACTAAACAATTACCGATATTTTTAGAAATTCAGTACAGCCTACAATTCTACATTATAACAAATAGAGAAGACAATACACTAAAAAGGTCAAAAGCTTACATAAATACAAATCCAAGAACTACCATTAGCTAGAAACTCATCTACACCTACAAAAACAGCCCTAAGCTACCACAGGTACTACAGGTCACCCGTAAAGCTCCTCCTGCTCTTCATTCTCATCATAAACACGTTCTTGCGAGCCTGGCTCGCTCACTAGCTCATCCAGATCAAGGTCACCATGCTCGTCTGCAGCCAGCTCCTCCTCTGGAATATCATTCCAACCAACGATGCAGACCTTGCCGATCCCAAGGCAGTCGTCCGTGCGAGTGACGTCACTGCTGTTGATCCAGCGCTGTACAACCCGCGCCTGCCTGGCAAGAGCACCAGGATCCCCCGACCGATCCAACTGAGCCTTCGTGGCGCCGGGATGGCGGAACTTGAACCTCACCTGCACGAAGAAAAGCAATCAACACTTGTTAAATTGCACAATGTGAAAGGCAAATAAAGTGCTCATGTTAAACTTACCGCTGCAAGGATGACAAGCAGCTGAACACGAAATAAACCAACTGGCAAGGCGCCATTCGAATCCCACAGAGAAGCACACTTAACGAAGGCAGGGCTGGAAAACGGACTGCCTCTCCTGTTGACGTGCCAGGGAATCCCCAAGAACTCTGCAACAGACCAAAACATACATCAGAACATGCCACGTTAATCCTGAAACCCAATTAATGCAACCGATAAAGAAAAACCTCAATGACTTACTATCGGCGAAACGCTCAACGTAGTCAGCATATTTCGTGAGTAAGTCCTCAGGCACCTGCAGGGTTAGCTCTCCCTTGAAGTTCCGCTTCCTCTCCATAAAAACGCATGGCTCTAGGCTCAGAGCATAAAGGCGACAGAATCGATAGATTTTACCGATCCGGTCGTTGAAGCGCACACACGCGTGCTTCAAAATGCCAATGACCTTCAGCAAGGCAGCGAGCTTCAAGCCTTGAGGGGAGTCAGCAATGTAACCAGCTTTCTCTGCACAAAACACGAATGACGACGAGGAAGTAAAAAACAATGGAAAACGAACGCGACAGTTTCTGACCGTCACTTACTGATTAAAGCTGCGAGCATCGCATCAGGATCGGGTGACAGGTTGAGCGTCTCCGGCTTGAAAAGGAAGTCGTCGCACGACTCCTTGATGTAGACCTGAAATTAAAAAATCACATCGCATTAGTGACTGTTTGTAAACAGCGCAGACGGCAAAATAGAGGGCAATACTCACCCGCCACTTCACTTTGGCGA